CAGCCAGCTGTCACCATGCTGTGCTGCGCAGACCGTCTCTGAAGATTGAAGGATGTGCCGTGTTTTCGCCCCTGACTTGCAGCTGCGTTTGAGTTTGCTGTCCCTCCACGCGCAGGCTGGCGATCGGCCCTCCCAGCTCATCCCTCTGCTGCAGCGCTCTGGGCACCATCCCCGTCTGACAGACAGGCTGTGTTGTTCCCCCAGGGCTGTGTCAGGCCCTGCGTGGTGTGTTGGGGCGTGCTCCGCGTGGTGCCCGGCGTTGTGTAGGTCTGAGTGCTTGCTCGCACGCGGAGAGGGGGCGCTGCCCGGCTCTGGCTCAGCCCGCTATCTTATCTCGCCAGGGTGTGGACTGGGACAGCGTGTGGGCAGGGAGTGCCGCTGTGCAGAGTCCTCTGCCAGTCAGAGCGAAACCGAGGGCGCAGCTCTGGACTCTGGCACCCAGGCTGCTTCCTTACAGCACCACGTGACCGAGCGAGCAACGGCCAAGGCTGCTGACCCCTGCCTGGACTGACCCCTGTCTGGACTGACCCCTGCCTGGACTGACCCCTGTCTGGACTGACCCCTGCCTGGACTGACACCTGTCTGGACTGACACCTGTCTGGACTGACCCCTGTCTGGACTCACACCTGCCCGGACTGACACCTGTCTGGACTGATACCTGTCTGGACTGACCCCTGTCTGGACTGATACCTGTCTGGACTGACCCCTACCTGGACTGACACCTGTCTGGACTGATACCTGTCTGGACTGACACCTGACTGGACTGACCCCTGTCTGGACTGACACCTGCCCGGACTGACACCTGTCTGGACTGATACCTGTCTGGACTGACCCCTGCCTGGACTGACCCCTGTCTGGAGTGACCCCTGTCTGGACTGACTCCTGCCCGGACTGACACCTGTCTGGACTGATACCTGTCTGGACTGACACCTGTCTGGACTGACCCCTGTCTGGACTGATACCTGTCTGGACTGACCCCTGTCTGGACTGACCTCTTGCCTGGACTGACCTCTTGCCTGGACTGACCTCTTGCCTGCCCCTGGCTGACAGTTATCTCATCACCAATGAAGGTGATTTGTTAGATCAGGCGATTTAGAGATAATTTCTGACCCTGACCCTGTGCCTGTAAGCCCTGAAGGACTGGGGCTCTACTGCTGGAACACAGGAATCCATCTACTCTTTCAATTCATTAGGCATTCGCTCAGTAAGAGTGACTCCAACACAGCACTCCGGGATCCAGGTTCAAGACCCCTGATCTAACATACAGTCCTTCCAGTTTTAATTCTCAGAAGAACACCACGACATTATGAAACCTTTATTTCACAAAGTGTTCTCTGAAAGAGCCCCCGAGTGACTGTTCGCCGGTTTCCCACAGCAGAGTTCAGCTGAGGCCGTCTCTTGCAGCCCCCCGCTCTGACCACCAGGGGGACCCCTGCGCCGCTCGACATTGACAAGTGGTGTTTTGTCTCCACCTCGTGGTGGACGTGCGATACTGCGCCTTTCAAACAGCAAAAAGACGTTTCCAAGTAAGAACAGGCATCTT